GTTAGCTTTTGGGGGGATGGCCTAGGCTGGAGGGCTCTGCGGCGAAGTTCCAGGCGGTAGAGACTCTCATTGCTATTGCCTCCGGGTTTCTCCTGTTCAACGGGCTTTGAAAGTCGACGCGTGATTAAAACTGCATCTGGCCAATCTCAACAGTCTTTATATTCCTTCGCCATACTGTTGTGAGCCCTAGTGCAAAGCGCTTCTGTTTGTTCACTAGCTATGCCTGCTGATCTGTCAGCGAGCATGCAGTGTTTAGTCTTCTACGATAGGACCACATCAGGCCCACACATACATACTTCGCAAGCGGCGTTGTCAACAGAACCCTTGCAATTCTGCACGTAAAACCATAATGGAATGACGGTTATCGGTTTTTTAATTTAAATGCTTGCCTGCGAATCGGCATTCCAACACGATTAAGCGATTGCCTCCTCAGTCAACTCCCTTTTGTGAGCTTGCCCTCTCAAGGACACCAACTAGAAGCCTCTGGCTGATATGCTCCCATCTCCCGAAAACTAAAACGCACAACTGCAGGCATTCTTCTTGCTCGTTAATTTAATTTCAATCCCACCTTCACATTTGAGGCAGTGTATTTCTTGAGGGCCACTTGGGTACTGCAGGGAAATACCAACTTGCCATACTTCCATTCGTTGAAATCTCTGCGTGTCCAACGCCATTGCAACAGCATTTAGCGGTCGTGTCGTGAGTCACTGCCCCCCGCTAGCTTGTCCTCTGACGATCACAAGCCTGATGCTCTCACTGATCCGCTCCCATTTCCTACAGTGTAAAAGCACGTTGGTAAGCACGTTTCTTGCTTCTCAATTTAATTTCAACGCCACCTTTGTTGCAAAACGCTTTGCGTAACAAAGTGCGCGTATTGAAGTGAACCCAAAAGACACATAGCGCAACAGAAGTGTTGCACCACCCATCTCAAACGTCGAGCCACAGTAAACGCCGCACGTTGCAGTCATCCATTTTATCTCAGTGTAACGAGACCGCTACCGTTCACCAATTCGTCGCTTCTTGACTATTCCTTCATCATTCTCTGCACCAATGCTCAGTTGGCGGACTCGATAAAATACTAAGTCGCTTGAAATAGTACCTCACCGCAGCCAAAGAGCGACTGCAAATCTAAACCCCCCATGCCCACATAAGCCCAATACGTCGCCCTGACTCATTCTTGTCTATAACGACTGAAGCGAGACGACGGAGAGCAGTCACGCCAAAAAAGTAAAGTGGCGCCAGCTTTGTGATGAACAGCGGCGCAGTCTACATCTGCACAGAGAAACAGGATACCAGACGCCCCGGCTACGCAAAACTGAGGTGCAGGTGCGTTGCTAAAGCCTATGCAGTGTTATGTGAATGTGTTCGCCCAACAAAGATCCCCGCGTGCAGGTAGCCGGTCCCTTAGATCCTCAGTGAAGGCCGTTCGAAGGACTTGTCACTGCTTTCTCCTTGTGTAGCACTTCAGCATTATACGCAATTTCAAGATAACCGGCAAGCGTCGTGCAGCAACAGGATCGACTGAGAGAGCTATATACATATCTTAAGGCGAGTCTTCTGGTGAACCAATCTAGCGTATGCCTGTACCTTCCCACGGAGAAGCACATGCTTGAAGCGGTCAGGTCACATGCAAGCACATCTTATGCCCATGGTAAGAAAGCGGTTGTATTCTGTGATCCTTATCAAAACGATATCTGCAGTTCAGTGATAATGCGTTTTGACCCAGAGCATGCATGCTATGTCCTAAGATCTTCACTGATGGTAAGAAATCGGACCCGAACACCCACATCCTGAGCGATTCTTGTGCGCAGATTGTAAAATGCTGGTGCAGTGACTCTTAAAGGAAGACAGCGAGATAGTCGAGTCTTGACTGCGAGGCGGAGTCAATCAAAAAGATAGTCAGCTACCTAGTTGACGGAGGCTAACCATGGCCGTTCATTCGTTTTTCTATGCACACGTACCTCTGCAAAATGCTCAGTTAAAAACCTCCTAATATCATGCATTCGCGTGATATTAGCTAGACATGGTACGATGAGGGACAAATGTTATATTGGAAAGCCTGGTATGCAGGCATCGCTGACGCAGTCAGACTGTTCGAAAACACGCTTTCACAGAGAAAACATAAAACGTGGCGCCTTGTCGGAGTCAAGCCAAGTATTGATTATTAATAGCTTCTATAGAACGTGCCGTGATTCAGCCAGTATTTTGTTTAGGGCTAACTGGGCCAAGGTGACGGCTGTAGGTGCTCTTAATGTACGACGAGTTCGACGTATTGCGTTGAGCAAACACACCTAAAGCATCCATTCCATACTGTGCACGTGATAATGCTGGATGTGAACATAAAATTATCGAAATACATGAAATCTCACCAATTATTTTTTAAATAGTCACAGGCAGCGCTCGAAGCAACCGAGCTGCTAAGCCTTGTGAGATTTCTCTTGGTACGCAATATAGTATAACTTTGCCGGCATGCAGGCACGTATGTACTGTAGAGACGCATACCTGCCCACTGCTGTTACTAAAGTGCAACAGTCTCAGGCCCAACGCTGCTTTTCGCGTGCTAGACAAGAGGCTTGTGTAATGCACGTACTTTTCCGCAAGCAAAGTACCGTGTGGTATGCATGAATCATGGCAACTGTCTAGTTGAGCGGGTGTACAGACGCCTTCAACGCTTCCGCAGTGCAAAGTACTTTCTGGTTTAAACGTTAGAAGGGGGCCCCATGACTCTCAGCTCAAGGCGCAATGCCTGAGGTAAGTAGGGCTTCTGAGTTGTTTTAGCAAATTCAAAAATCGACAGCATCGCCACCTGTACGTATTGCATCTTTCACCTGAATACAAAAAACGTTTTGCTCACTTTCTGCGTTGCAAGTGTACCTTATAAACGAGTGTCTTATTTCATCAGGTAAGTCCCTTTTTGATTGGCTCATGCAGTTTCAATTAGCGTCGCTTTGATTAAGCGAACACTTCTTAGCACTGATTATCTGCACTTTAGGCTTTGCAGTGCAAGCAAGCTGCTTTGCACTGCAATTACCGTACAGAAAAAAAATTTCGAGGTAACACTGCAGTCTTTAACTTCATCCAGTATCCCGTCTTTCAATGAAAGCCTACGCGTTTGAGCTAAAGCACTCGATGCCAACAGAGTTAGCCCACAATGGCTCGTCAAAGCTCACACTCTGCTTAAAGACCAGCAGTGGGGCTGGCCCCTTTACCTGATGAGATGGCATCGGAAATAAGTCTTGTTTCAACTGAAAGGCAACAACATACATTCAAAGGTTGGGCTGTCCGAGCTATTACTGCAGGCTTCCTACATCTATGCGATGCTACAACTTCCGTGGCCTCAGCTTTGCTTCGTTAGCGATCCTGGAAACCAAACATTTCTGCCGAGCTTGAAAAAACAGCTCTTTTCAAAATGAAGAGGGAAGTATTCTTGCAGCATCAATTTTGCACAGAGTCACCCCTTACGCACAAAGATCTAAAGCTCATCTGTAGAAGAATATGCACAGAAAAGGCTGGTGGCACAAAAGGGTAATGAATGCGGCCGGGACGCAACTTAAGCCTTTGTGTTGGCGTTCAATGGTTGAAGCGACAACACATGAAGTCAGTGTGGTTACTTAACAGACAAACAGCCCAAATTATCCTTTCTGAGGACGTACACTAAGAAGGACGTGCTAGTCGTACGGCATGGTTCGAAGCTAGTCTTGATTCGGAGCCTGCTGATGCTTTCAAGTTGCTGTACCTAACTGTAATGGGCATTCGTGCAATGAAATGAATTTATTGTTCTATTAACACAGTTTACGAGCTAATAACGACGAAACTCGCACGTATACACGTGGCATCGCTAGACTTACCAGCTGCCAGATGAGTGTTACATCTCCAAGTCAAGCATAGAAATGCACTCGAGTGAGAGGCTGCTGGGCCATATAAAAGTCGTCAAGGCTTGCCGTTGACTCCTTGCCCTTGGGTGTCGCACTTCAAAAATAGTGAACGCAAGATTCGGAGGAGTGATATTCATAGTGAAACGTTGTGCGCGGCGTCTGTATGAGATTCGGATGGATTAACCGTGGCAGAACAGAGCTACATACTTTTGACCGCAGCAACGGTGCTTCATAGTGCGCTAGAAGAGAAAGCAAGCATTTTGTATGCAGCAGTTGGGTCACCTACATATTCCAAGGCATGTACAAAAGCATGTGGGGAGCTTTCTACTACATGGTGTAACAACCTTCCCATGCTTTTTCTGCCTATGAACGCGTACGATCTGCGGAGCGGAAATCACATTCCAGGATCGAAGGCGGTTTGGGCGACTCATATGCAAAAATCAATACACGCGCAATACTACTTGCAATGTCTTCATAATCTGGAAGTGCAAGGAGTTTGGGAAGCGACAAAGCGTCAACACACTGGCAAACCATGGCGCCGTCTCTTTGTGTCACTGCTGCCTCTTGCTAAAACGCCGTGGAGATAACCTGACAAAGTCTGTTACAGGCAGCCTACACCTAAGACGTTCTAAAACATATTCACAACCGTAGGAGAAGTACAGGGAGGGGGCTTTTCATTCCTTCAGCAATAAGCATACTAACTGGTCAGTAAAGTGGAATTAAAACGTATTTTTAGCAATCAACTTCCCAGCACAAGTAATTAGGGGGCCTCAACATAACTGAATAGTAAACCAAATTTCCCGATGACGCTTTTGAATTTGAAAAAGCGGTCTGCGACACGTTTACAGAGATTTACATTCACTCATCACAACTACGGCATCGTGAAATGCTTCTTCGAAAATGCAGAACTCAGTGATGCTATTAAAAGGCACTCACTGTCTGCACAAGCATGACTAATTTGATCAGGCCGAAAAGCAGGACTTCCAACGCGCTCCTTTTTTGAATTTGTTGTTTTTGGAAATAAAATGAAAAAGTAAAATGAAGACTCTACTGATAGTGCTGCGCACACGCAAACCCTAAACCCTAAGCCCTAAACCCTAAACCCTAAACCCTAAGCCCTGAAGTTTAAGCCTGGACTCGACCACAAATATTCTTAAACCCTGGACCACAAACACAGACCCTAAACCCTAAACCCTAAACCCTAAACCTCAAGCCCTAAACCTTAAACTACAAACCCTAAACCCTAAACCCTAAATCCTCAGGGGATGGATTTGTTGAATTGAGATCCACCAAAATAGCAAAAGGACACACAAATAAAAAGAGAATTAATAATATTTAAAAAGATAAAAGAAATAAAAATAAATAAAGAAAACAAAAACAATGAAAAGGAATAAAAAGAAATAAAAAGAAATAAAAAACTAAAAAAGAATAAAAAAGAATAAAACCAAAAAAATAAAAGCGTTACCTTCTGCTGCTGCTGCTGCTGTGTCTCCTGTGCTGCAGCAAAGCACAACAGCTTCTCGAGTGTCTTTTTTGTCTCTCAAGAACTTCATAAGTCCCACTGCAGCAGCAGCAGCAGCAGCAGCAACAGCAGCAGCAGCAGCAGCAAAAGCAGCAGCAGCAAAAGCAGCAAAATGAAAAATGCAGCAGCAGCAAACCACAAATCTTAATCCTAATAACAATAATGAATTTAATTTTAATTCCTTTTCTTTTAGTTTGCTTCAGATTTGCTCTTCATTTAGCTTCGACTGTTGCTGCTGCTGCTGCTGCTGCTGCTGCTGCTGCTGCTGCGTTTGTTTTATTGCTGCAGCTTACCCGCAGCAGTTAATTCACCAGAACTAAATGAATAAACAAATAAATGAATAAATAAATAATAAATTAATTAAAAATAAAAAGTAATAAATAATAAATTAATGAAATTAAATTAAATTAAAAAAATAAATAAAAATAAATAACCTGTAAAAGTTAGCGCCAGAGACACAAGTCCTTTTGGGCTTCCGTTTTTGAGCTGCAGCAAAAAGAACTCTTCGTCGCTACTGCTGCTGCTGCTGCTGCTGCGGATTTGGCCTCTAGATTCTTTTCTGCTGCTGCTGCCCGCTGTCTCCTTTTGTCTCTCTTGCTTCCCTGCTGCTGCTGCATGCAGCCGCAGCAGCTCGGGGAAACTCCACCCTGTTGCTGCTGTTGCTGCTGCTGCTGCTGCTGCTGCTGGGCTGGCTTCGTTCTGTTCAGAGTCTGTTGCTGCTTTGCTGCTGCTGCTTGCTGCTGCTGCTGCTGCTGCATCGGGGGACTCTTCTTTGTTCCTTTCAGCTGCAGCAAGCCGCTGCAGCTGCTGCCAGTGAGCCCCAAAGAGTTGCGCAGCAGCAGCAGCAGCACTGCTGCTGCTGCTGCTGCTGATATTCCGGCCCGAACTTCCGTGCTGCAGCAGCGGAAGCTCACTAGAGGGGCCCCCCAAGAAGGTTTTAAAGGCCCCAAACTTCCGGGGGCCCCCGGGGGGCCCCCCGAAGGTTTTGTAGGCCCTGAGGGCCAGGGGCCCCCATGGGAGGCCCCCAGTACCCTCTGGGGGCCCCCCGGGGGTCCCCCCCCCGGTACCCTCTGGGGGGCCCCCGCTGGGGGCCCCCACCCCAGCACCCTCCGGGGGGCCCCCAGGGGGGCCCCCAGGAGAGCCCCCAGGGGGGCCCCCGGGGGAGGAGGCCCCCAAAGTACCCTCGGGGGGCCCCCCGGGCCCCATAGACTCCCGAGAATGATGCTGGACCCTCTGAAGTCGGAAAACTTTTGTATTTAATTTATCTTTTTGGATTTTTTCGAAAATGTTTCTCAAGAGAGAAGGAAGAGCTGCTGATAGTTCTGAAGAAGCTGGAGAGGGGCCTTCTAGGAAAAAGAAAAAACGCAAACAGAGAATTGCCCATATTGCAGCAGCAGCAGCAGCACAGCAGCAGCAGCAGCAGCAGCAGCAGCAGCGGCGGCGGCGGCAGCACGGAGGCCGCTCTTGGCGTGTTCAACCATGGTAAAATGAATTAAATACTCTCTAATTAGCAACTAATAAATAAATAAATAAACAAATAGTTATTTTAAAAATCAAATAAATAAGTAAATAAATAACAATTTAATGCAATTTAAAAAGATTTATTTTTTGTTACCGTCGGCGTCAATGAAGAGCTGCAAAATGCGCTCCAGCAGTGCAGGAAAGGACAAACGCCTAAAACAAATAAATAAACAAACAAATAAATAAACAAATAAATAAATAATAAATAAATAAATAATAAATAAATAAATAATAAACAATAAATAAATAAAGAAAAAGGCGCTAGATTTTGACTGCGGGTTTTTTGCTGCGTTTGTGGTATCCGGGGTGTACGTACACCCCAACTTATATTCATGTCTTCGAAAAGACGCAAAAGTTGAATTTAATTTAATTTTAATTTTAATTATTTTATTTTACTTTATATTTATATTTGCATTTGTCTTCTAGTTTTAATTAATTGGTTTGTAATCTCAAAGGATTAAGAGGAATTTGAACTTTTGACTTTTCTGAAAAGTCGAAAATTCAAAAAGGGAAACCCCCACACAACGCTGAGGTGTACAGACACCTCCTTTCACCCCACAAAGCTGAGGTGTACAGACACCTACTTCCACCCTTCTTGAATTTCAGAAGAAACCTCCGGAATAAAAGCCGGCAAAAGAAGACCCCCGTCGTCAGCCACTCCTGCAAACACCACTAGGGTCTAGGGTTTAGGGTTTAGGGTTTAGGGTTTGGGGTTTAGGGTTTAAAATGGCAATTGCCCGCCAGCAAATGACAAACTAAAAGTTAATTTAAAAAAGATTTTAATTTTGATTGTTTGAAAATGATGGAAATCAATTAAAGAGATACAGAAAATGAAATCAAATTTGTTGAATTGAAATATCAAAAATAAATTAAAGGAGTTGAGAGAGCCAAATAAACCAAATTGAATGAAAAGAACCAAAGATAATGAAATGAATCAGATCAATTGAATATAATTAAATGAAACAAACCAAATAAATATAATTAAATGGATCCAATGAATTAAATGGAATTAATTAAATTAAATTAAATTACTTGAATTAAATAAATCAACTAAACGAATTGAACTTATTCCGCGCGGACACACCCGCTATGGCCGCCTGCGAGAAGGTGTAGAGGCGGGGGGAGCCTCTAGAACTGACGAATCGCATGTCTAAAGAGCTGCAAAAAGGATTAAAACGCAAACTAAATTAAAAAAAGAAGTTTAGAAGAGAAAAAGGAAGAAAATGCATGCACATTTGGGGCGAAAAGAGGAAAAATTCGAAAAGTTCAAGTTTCAAGTTTCCAGCGGCGGGCGCGCGAGCTGTCCAGACACCCGAAATTCCACGAAATCTCCCCTCACTTCCTCTCCAGATGCAAAAAGACAAAGCAGTTTTAAATAAAAAGAAAAATAAAAAGTAAATGACGCAAAAGGGGGGCGAGAGAGATCGGGGGGCAGACCGTCAGCGCGAGGTGTACGTACACCCGAAACACAACAGCAACGCCGCGCAGCCAACGCACGCCCCCGGGCCCTCCCGGCCGCGAAAAACACTTTTTTGGAATCTTTTTTAATTTTAAATTCAATTAAAATGTTTTTAACTCCAAATTTGCGAAAAAAGAAGCACTTTAGAGCCCGGGAAGCCGCGCCGCGGCGCTGCAGACGCGTCAGCCGCGCATGCAGCCACGGACGCGGAAACGCGGCGAAATTCAAAGCGTGTGTTTTAATTGAATTCTTTTTTGAATTATTTTAATTCAATTAATTCAACTTCACAATTCAACAGAGTCCGAAGGAAAGCAAACGCGCGTTTGCTGCTGCTGCAGCGCGCGCTTGCAGCAGCGGAAACAGGCGGCGTTTTTGGCCAATATTCGCTCAATTTCGCCCCTTTTAATTTCATTTAATTCATTTTGACTCAATTAATTCATTTTTATTCATTTAACGTCTTTTAAATTCTTTTAACTCGCTTTAAAGGCGCGAAAATCCACTTATATCGACTCCGTTGACGCAGGGAGGCGCGGGCAGCGCCACTGGTCTACCGCGGTGTGCGCATTGAGTTTTTCTTTGAATTTGCCTCTTTTTTCCCTTTTTTCAAAGTTTAAAGCAATTTAATTCACTTATTCATTTTAATTGAATTAAAATTGCATTGTTTGCATTTAAAGTCCACAAAAAGGGAACTAATTGCATTTGAATTCGCAAAACGCGGAGTCGATCGCCGCCGCTCCCAGAAAGTGTTCCGCGGGTTCTGAAAACTCGAAAAGTGGAATTAAACGAATTAAATTAATTCCATTTGAATAAAAAAATAAATAAATAATAAATAAATAAATAATAAATAAATAAATAAATAGAACTTTAAAGCCGCGCCAGTGGCATGAGGCCGAGGCGCAGGTCTGCATGCAGCAGGACCACCTGCATGCATGCAGCTCTGAAGTTTTTTCCAGTTTGCCATTTCTTTTGGTTTAAATGCCATTTTAATTCAATTTTAAGCATTATTTTTCATTTTATTTCCATTTATTTTCTTTTATTTTCATTTAATTTCATTTAATTCGCTTTTCAGACCTCATTCAACTCCAAACGCCGAAGCGCGAGGCGCTGAACTCCAGGTGTACGTACACCCCAGCGTCCTAAGACCCATCTCCTTTTTTCTTTTCATTTTCAGATGAATAAAAACTTCAAAATAAATAAATAAATAAATAATAAATAAATAAATAATAAATAAATAATAAATAAATAAATAAATATAAATTTGAAAGAATTGTTTCCTTAGAAGAGGTTTAAAGGCCCCTGCAACACGCCTGGAGCCAAGGGTTTCCTAATTCCTTCCAAATTGAAAATCTTGAATTAAATAATTAATTTTAAAATTAAAATAATTTTTATTTCAATAAAAAGAATTAATTAGCTGTCAAAGAGACCCTACTGGCAGGTGCAGCAGCAGCAGCAGCAGCAGCAGCAACAAAACTAATTTTTAAAAATCAATTAAAAATTGACTTTTTAGTTCATGCAGTTTCTAATTACTGGTGTACATACACCCGAAGCAAATCAAAGGGTAAACAGAAAAAGGAATGCATGTAACTGCAGCAACTGCAGCAACTGCAGCAACTGCAGCAACTGCAGCAACTGCAGCAACTGTAGCAGACTATCTTTGTAACAAATGATGGAAATCAAAATTATAAGGCAGTTGCAAGAGGATAGCAGCAGCAGCAGCAGCAGCAGCAGCAGCAGCAGCTGCTGCTGCTGCTGCTGCTGCTGGGAGAAAAGGAAGAGAGAATAAATAATGAATTGAGTGCCCTGACCTCGGCAGCAATTGCTATATTTATATTTATATTTATATTTATATTTATATTTATATTTATATTTATATTTATATTTATATTTATATTTATATTTATATTTATATTTATATTTATATTTATATTTATATTTATATTTATATTTATATATGTATTTATATATATATATATATATATATACGTATTAATATT